TTTATATATCGATGAAATAATAAAGTTGTTAATTAAATACTAATTACAATTAGTTAAAGAGAAATTTAAAAGAGATAATACTAATGAGACGAATATATTCCCAATTCAGGAAATACAAAAAAAATAAGATCTATTTCACCATTTTAATGCAATTGTTTTCATGATCAATAATCAACTCGATTACATTACGAACATTATTTTAAAATATAATGTACATGATACAAAGTTAAATGAAGTTATTAAAAAAATAAAACATTTAGTTTATATTTAGTAGTAAAATGGTTATACCTAGATGTGTAAATAGTTAGTCAGTCATATACACGTGTGTGTACATAGTCGACTGTCCATACATACGTGTATACATGCATACTTTCTTAAGTTTATATATAAAAAGTAAATAAATAGATATTCATTTTTTCTATAGACTTCTATTCAAAAACATCGCAATGGCGAATAAAACTCAATGTTTTACATGCAACAAGGAAAAAATAACTTATCCTTGTGACGGATGTTCACAAAGATTTTGTTTAATACATTTACCAGAACATCAACAAAAACTGAATGAAGAATTAAATCATATTATTGATGATTATAATGAATTTACAGAAAGAATTAATGGGCAAAAACAAAATCTACACAATCATTCATTAATAAAACAAATTAATCAATGGGAAAGAAATTCAATTGAAAGAATTCAACAAAAAGCACAAGAATGTAGAGAAACTGTCATTGAATCATCGCGAACATTTATTAATGATATTGAAAATAAATTTAATGAATTAAATAAACAAACACAACAACTTCATAAAGAAAATGACTTTAATGAAATTGATTTAAATAATTTAAAAAATCAATTAAGAAAAATTACAGAAGAACTAAATAATCCGTCAAATGTTTCTATTCGACAAGATTCACAAGCATTTATTAGTGATATTTCGATTATTTCGTCAAAAAGTAAGTTGTTTAGAAATAATTTCTAAAAGAATAATTCTCATTTTCCACGAGTTTATGCTAATAAAACTATAAAAACAAAGAAAAAAAATAGTGAGAAATATAAAAGGATCCATAGATTATTATCAATTTATTTATTAATTAAATCAATAATAATAGTATTAATATATGTAGGAAATTAAATTTATTTCTATGTAAAAAAAGAATAATAAAATATAAAATAATATTAACTTGAAAAAAATTTTTTTCAAAGACTCAAAAGATATTTAATTGATAAAAATAATAAAGTTGAGTCATTTTCAAATTTTTATTTAACAAAAATAATCAACGAAATCTTTTCTCTTTTTCGATCTTTGTCGTCAAAACAAAATATTTTTTCGATTCATTTTACGAAATTTTATTTAGAAAAACAATACGAGATTTTTTCTTTTTTTCAAAAGAATTTATTTCTATTTTCCAAATACAAAACTTCAAATGTGTTATGCTCTTTTTCAATAGAATCTTTTTCAAAACTTAACAAAAAATATAAAATACAACTTCTCTTTTCATTAAACCTGTTTATGAAGATTTTATTCGAAATTCAACTTTGCAAAAATAAAATCAAAGTTTCTTTGAGAACTAATTTTTTTCGTTAACAAACAAAACTTTCTTCTTCTTCTTTTTATCAAAATTTTTTGTTTTCATCGTTTTCTAGAACCAAAATTCAACAAATGGAAACAAAATGGCATCACTGTGGCTGGTGGAAATGGACAAGGACAAGAATTAAATCAACTCAATCGCCCTTTGGGCATTTTTATTGATAAAAACAAAAATATTATTATTGTTGATGTTTATAATCATCGTATTGTTGAATGGAAACATAATGCAAAAGAAGGAAAAATTATTGCAGGCGCTAGTGGCAAAGGACTTCGAATGGATCAATTGAATGGACCAACAGATGTGATTGTTGATCAACAGAATCATTCGATCATCATTGCTGATTTAGGGAACAGACGAGTGATTCAATGGTTGAATCAGAATCAGCAAATTCTCATTAACAATATTGACTGTTGTCGTTTGGCAATGGATAAACACGGATTTCTTTATGTTTCTGATTATAAGAAGAATGAAGTGAGACGATGGAAAATGGGAGAATACAATGAAGGAGTTGTAGTGGCAGGTGGAAATGGAAAAGGAAATCAACTTAATCAACTAAATACTCCTACTTTTATGTTTGTTGATGAAAATCAATCTGTTTATGTATCGGATTGCAACAATCATCGTGTGATGAAATGGAGAAAAGATGCAAAAGAAGGAACAATTGTGGCTGGAGGAAATGGTCAAGGAAAAAATCTCAATCAATTCTCTCAACCTCAAGGAATATTTGTTGATGATTTGGGTCAAATCTATGTGGCAGATAGTGGGAATGATCGAGTAATGCGTTGGTGTGAAGGAGAAGGTGAAATTGTTGTTGGTGGAAATGGTGAAGAAAATCGATCAAATCAATTGAATGGTCCCATAGGTTTATCTTTTGACCATGAAGGAAATATTAATGTTGCTGATCAATCGAATCATCGAATTGAAAAATTTGAAATAATTTTGTGAATGAAATTTTTATTTTGACAAAAGCAAAAGAAATTTTTTATTAAATAAAAACTAAGAAATAAAAATAATATAAAAAGTGAAGTTTTATGGCTGAGAATCAATTAAAAAATTGGAATAGATTTTGATAGGAAAAGAAAGAACAAAAATTTTTTAGGTTTCTTTTTTTTGAAGTTGAATTTAATTTGATAATTTTGATTACCGAATTTCAACAGATAAATGCTAAATTCTTTATCTTCTGTTGATTTTTGTCGATATTTACAGAAGAAAAGAAAAGAAAACATTTTGTAATTCAAATCGAATTGAAATAAAAATTATTCAAAAAGAGGATTTTATATTTGATGAAAATAATCTAATTGTATTGCCTTTTCAATTTGATAACATTTAAGAATTCTTTTATAAGAATTTGATAAGAAAACTCGAGTTGAAATGAATTTTGTTGTATCGTTTTCACGGAAAAGTTGTAATAAATAAATGCTGAATTTTAAGAAAAACGTCTCATTAGAATAATTGAAGAAATGATCGACTAAGTAATTTGAGATATTTCAATGAATCACAAAAATGTTTATTAGGAGATTAAAATTAGTTGAAACTGATAAATATTTGATAAAAATGATCAAATCTCATGATAAAATCAATTTAAAAATCTGTTTTTTTAAATATTTGTAGTTTAAGCTCGTGAACTGGTATGGAACTATCACACCACTAGTATGCAGAAGTCGACAAGCTGAGTTGGATGAGATTAAACGTTTTTACTTATATGTACCTATTATTCTGATTACTTGATTTATTTCGACAAGCTCTACAAACTCGTAGATAAGTTATTCAATTTCTTTTAATTAGAAAATGTCCATGTAAAGCCACAAAAAAATACAAATAAAAATAGTGAGAGATAGCGTTTTATTTCCAATAAGCAACAAATGTATATTCACCTGATGCTACTCTAACTGACATTGTACTTCGTAACTTATTCTCACTCAAATCATTTACTCCATTTATATCTCTCAACAATTTTATTTCATCACTCATCTCTCCTCTCATCCAAATGATTTCATTATCACACATTAATTTTACACATTGTCCATTCTTAATTAATGAATCAAATGTTACGATAGCATCCATATTGGTAGGTATCACAATTGATAAGTTCACAGTATTTACCGATGTTCTTGACCATTCTACTCGAATTGATCCTTTGATTGCTACAACTTCAGCTTTTACATAACTTAAAAGATCAGCATCATAAGACATTCGAGGATAAATAGTAATTGTCTGAAGACCATTCAATTCAATACCTGCTAAATATCGATAAAACCATGCACCAATACTATTAAACATATGATGATTTAATGATGCTGTTGCACCTTGTGGTAATGTATTCCAAAGTTCCCATGTTGTTGTAGCATTTTGAATATCATTATGAAACATATAACCATACGATGGATAAGATATTGATTGTGCAAGTTTTAATGCTAGATCATGATGTCCTTCGATAGAAAGAAGAGGATATAAAGGAGCTACACTAACAATACCACCAGTAAAATGACCAGTGGTAACAATATTATTTATTAATGAATTGAGAACATTTGTACGAAGAGATACTGGAACAACATCAGGTAAAGCAAGTGCAAGTATATTCATTGCTTGACTACCATCAACATAAACATTTAGATGAGTATTATAAAAGACATTATGAAATTCATTAGCTAGTTCTTGATATAGTTTTGTATATTTTTGTACATTTTCAGTATGATTAAGAAGACGACTCATGTTAATAAATGTATGTACATCACGAAGATAAGCATACGACGATGTTAATGATGTATTAGCTGTTCTATCTACTGTTGCCCAATCACCCCAATAAAAATACATTTTAGCTAAACCTGTCTTTTGATGTTGATTAGTTAAACAATCAATCCATGCTTGTATACCATTATAATATTTTTCAATAATACTAATATCACCTGTATGTTCATATAAATACCATGTGATTGTTACATATGCTGTGCCCCAGTTTGGATCAGCAGGACTAAAACCTACTGTAAATGGTACTGTATCACTTACACTACCATCCGGTAATTGATTATCTGATATCATTGTTAAAAAGTTCAAATAAAAATTTACATAATCAAAATTAAATAATGTTTCATCAATACTAAGTCCTGCATCGCCAAGCCAACCACGTCTTTCATTTCTCTGTGGACAATCAGTAGGTATTGACATTGAATTACTCAATTGAGACCAAAGAATATTATGTTGAATTTGATTTAATACATCACTACTACTACTAAAATTACCAATAAGTGTTGTTTCACTATGTGCATTGTAACATTCAATATTATCTTTATTAATATTATCATAACCATTTACTAATAAATATCGAAATCCATGATAAGTAAATAATGGTTCAAATGTTTCATTTCCTGTTCCATTTAAAATAACTGTATCCATTACTGCTATATTAGCTAAATTTTCATAATATAAACCAGCAAAATCAATTCCATTTTGACCACGTGAATATCGAAGTTCTGCATAACGAAGTTGTATAATAGTAGATTTAGGAGCATTCAATGAAGATAGTTTACACCAACCAGCAAAATTTTGACCAAGATCAAATACTTGTCCATTGACTTCATCTTGTGAAATCGGTTTAAGTATACCACCATCTGTGAGACTACCACCTTGTACTCCATCAACATTTCCCTTGTTGCCTGATGTTGCAATATGTAATGCATCTGGTCCAATACGAATAGGATCCATTGTTTGTAAAGACAATTGACCACCAGCTGTGAAATTAACTGGTGATGGTAAAACTGATGCATTGATCCACAAAGAATATGGATCAATAAATTTAGCACATGACCAACATGAACGTACAGCTCGAAGATCCATTGTTGTACCCATATAAACAGAATCATAACGATGTTCACCTTCTCGACCTAACCAAGATGAATCAGTTACAATAGATTGATTTGTACCATCGATATATACAATATTTAATTGCATCAATACACGTGGTGAACCATATTGCTCGGAAAGATCTGGACGTGCACCTGGACCAATGATCCATTGCTGACGATTGTACCAACCTTGACCTAACATGATACCAATACCAAGCTGATTAGTAGTATTAAATATTTCAGTTAAATCATATGAACTATAAAGTGTTCGTTGTTGATATGTAGTCCATCCAACATCTAATCGTCGTGTTTTATCAATTTGCTGTCCTTCGATATACAACTGATAATAACCAATACCACTAATAAAAACAGTAGCAGATTGAATTCTAGTCAATTTCATAGTTACAACAGTTCGTAATTGATTCATATTGATATTATTACTTCCAATCCATTGACCTGCCCAATCAGTCAGTGAAAAGAGTGCTGTACGAAAATGAGCAATATACCATTGACTTTGATGTTGTGTAGTATAATATTTGATTGTAACTGTATAACGTGTATCAGATATGAGTGGTACACCTTTATAAAAAATATGTGTAGATGAAGATGAAGATACATAGCCACTATTCCAAACGACTTCATTATTAATAACTTTGGTGACAATAATATGATACGCTATTTGTTTAATATCTTTAATCAAATATCCGTTACTATCATATTCTTGAGCTAGTTGCCAAGAAAAATGTGGTGTTTGAGTATCAATAACTACATCATGATGAGTATCAACATCCATATGTTGAATTCGTACATGTTGAGATGTAACACTTTCAACAACGAGTAAAAATATAAAATAAAGCGAGTAAACTAACATTCTGTTCTGAAATAGACTGATAAATGAAATATAACGAGGTAGAGACTGCAACACTTCAACTAATCTAAAAGACAAGATAACGAAGTCATGAAACTATTTGTTCTTTACATTCTCAATGTAGACATTTAATGTTGCAATTATATAAAGAGAAGAAAAAGAATGCTTTATTAATGTTTGTAAACTATTACAATTTAAAAGAACTTTTTTATCAATAAACCAATACCAATACAAAGAATTGAGCATGTTAATATTATTGTTCTACAACCACCAAATGCTCTCCAATCGAAATGATTAACAGCTTCAATATTATTTCCATGAGGATCAATTACAAAAGCTGCATAGTAAAATCGATGATATAGTGGACGAAATCCAGGTGGTCCATTATCTTTTGCACCATGTTTTAATGCAGTTTGATAAAAATCATCAACTTGACGGCGAGTTTTGGCTGCAAATCCAATATGAATTCCAACGTGACATTTTTCTTCATTTGAATCACCTCTATTACCAATCCAAAATGTTGGAAATCGTTGACCAAAACCGACTGCTTTGTCACCTTCAATTGTTATTATTTTCTTATTACCCAATGTAGCCAAAACAGCTTCATAAAATGATACTGTTTTATGATAATCATTTGAATTAAAACTAAAATGATCGATAGACATATCTAAAGAAGAAGAAAAACACGAAATAAAGCATGTATTCTCTATATCGACATATACATATATGTATGTTATCTTACGTTCTTTTTGTTTTTCTTTTATCCGGTACATATATAGGTCAAATTTTTCTTTTGTCTTTACGAATAATTAATAACCTTATGAACTCTTTTATTATATATTAAAACTTGTACAACACATCAATAATAATTGAATTGTCGACACTTAGAATACATAGATTTGAACGTGTTAAAAGACGCCATTATTTTATGAATAATATTTTTTCTAAGCGTGAAAAAAAATTGTTATTCATTACAAACAGTTGCTAGTCAGAAAATTTCTAACTGTTCGAGAGTAGAATTTTTAAATATGCAATTGATGTTAATACATTCAATTCTTATCTTTTATTTACCGTTGATTTCAACCATACCTATTGTTATATATAATAATACACAATTCAATCCTATTCATAATGGAACTATGATTTCGAAGTATTCATATATTCACCATCAATCTAGTTGTATTTGTTATTGTTTTGGATATTCTACATGTAGAACAGCTGTATACATTGGCTATAATCAAACATGTTTACTTTATTCTACCGATGTACGTGAAGAAGAATTGAAAATTATGCCCATTAATATGTATTCAAGTGTTATCAATATAAAATATAACAACTTCTCAAGTAATAATATTTACGTCATAGTTTTAATTTCGGATTTTTTTTAGTATAAATAACGAAGCTAAGTGAGAATACTTATATAATGTAGTAAACTGTCTGTTCATGAATAATAAAGATAAAAATAATTTGCGCTAAGTTCGATTTAAAGACCGTATCATAACTAATAAAAAATATATAGATTCAACAACTACTTCGAATATAATGACGACAAAAATCAATACTGCATCATCGACTGGAGCAACTACTCAAAAACACAAGAGTACACCAGGTAAATACATTAGTATTTCCTACATTATTTTCATATACATTATTTTAGTAATACAAACTGCAACAGCATCATACATGAGCACAATCATATCAACAATGGCTTCTACTCCAACTGATACATCCACTACACCTAGTATGTTTGATATATGTATGTTTAATATAATAAATTAGACAAGAAACTTTTTATTTAGCATGCACAACATTTATTACTTTTGATGATATTTCTGATCAATCGACTCTGTCTATTCCTATACCTAATGGTTATAAAAATCTTAATTGGATCAATGCTGAGGTTATACAACCAGCTCTATTACCGTATCAGAGTGGTTATCCGCAAGGAGTTTGTTCTCCACCATTTGTAATGCATAATCCGACTGGTGAACAAATGATCATTTCATCAACAGGTAGTAATCAATTTTTCTTTAATAGCCTATATATAACAAGTGCTTGGCGTAATTCTCTTATTATTACAATGATAACTCTCAAAGCTGGACAAATCACATCAACTAAAACAATTACAGCGATGACTACAAATACAACATATGTCCATTGCAGCCTTTCCACGAGTATTGATACTATATTATTGCTAGCAAATGGTGGTATTCCTATGGCAAATTTCACACAAAATGGAACTCAATTTGTTATTGATAATTTATGTATCACATTTGAAAATTAAATATAATCAAAAAAGAATTTTCTCTTCTCATATTTTAGAGTTGCATAAAATATTAAACAGAATCACACTTCAATATTGTTAATTATTCTAACACTCTCATATTATGTAAATGAATACGAGTCCATATTTTATCTAAAATAACAAATGATTTAACGTTCTTTTTTTGTTTAAACACTAGAAAATACTGTTATATATCTTTTTACTGTAGATTGTAGGAAAAAAAAGACTAAACGAACAATATAAGAACAAAAAAAAACACAAATTAAATCGAAGAAAAGATAAATAAATTAATAAATTAAAATTTGTCTTTTTGTGTAATTTTTAAATGAATATAACCACCGAAAGAGAACGAATTCAGTTCATGTATATATATTGCTTATAAATTTTGTATTTGACCTGGTAAAAATCGAGTCTAAATGAAAAAAAAAATATAAAATAATTCCTGATTATTTTTCTTTAAAAATATACATGAAAGAAAAAGATATTTCTACGACTAAAAAGCACGAAAAATCTTAACGACTGTCAAGTGTGTTTTACATGCAAGAATTTTTTCAAAAGACAAATAGATACAAGCATGCATATGTATGATAGATAAGTGTGTTGTTGTTTTTTTTATTAATATATATATAAGTCTAACCTTTTTGAAAAATAATAGATAAAAGTAGAATTTGAGAGATCAAGATGGAGAACAAGCAGAGACCTATAAGAAATCATGCACCAACTCAATTATTTCTCTATCGATATGATTTTTCTGAGAATTTATCGTGCAGAAAAAAAAGAAACATACATTCGTTGTTACAGAAGTTGGTTCGTTAGTTGTTATTTCATCTTAAATAAATAAATAAAATCGATTAAAGTAATAATGAATTGAAATAGATTTACTTGATGATGGTGATTCATTCGACGAAATATTTACTTCACTGTTTGTTATAACTGGTGCAACAACCTCGGCAGTTGGAGACGGAATAGGTGTGGGTATAGATATTTTAAAAACTTCATCCCAAAGACCTGGTAGAAAACTATGAATTCGATCTTTTGTAACTACTGTTAAAGGTTGATCAGGTTCAAATAAACCGGTTGTATTCATAACTAAAAGCATATTTTTTAAAGATTCACGAATTGATTCACGCTAAAATTATACATATATTATTTATTTTCGAACGAAAAAAAGAAACAAATAATTTTTCTTACCAACATATCGGTTTGATCTATTTTCGAATATTTATCCATAAAATCTAAAATTGTTAACCAAATTGTTGTAAATGTTGATAAATTTAATAATGGTGTAAGATGTTGTAAAAATATACGACAAAGTAATTGTGAAACACGTACACGTGTTTCTTCAATTCCATATATAGGATCATTTATATTTGTTGTTTCAAGTAATTTAACTAATAATGGAAATAATACTTTATTAAATACGGATTCCCATTCTGTTGCAGAAAGAATATTAAGTTCAGGTAAAAGAATACATCGTTGAAGGCAACTAAGTGCAGATGCACGAACTATACGACGTGGATCACAACAAAGACGAGCAACACCTAAATAGAAAAAAACAATTATTTAAAACTTATCAATTCTATGCAGAAGAATAGAGTGTTACAACTCTGGTACATTAGGAGACACTAACCTTGTAAAATAGGACACCAACATTTATACCATAAAATATTTGATTTTGTTTGATCTGCTGGTATTTGTTTATATATTTGTGATGCATTTATATGTAATATATGCATTAATTCTAATAATTGTAATGCAATTGTTTGATATTCTTGTTTAATTGTTTCTTGTTCATCATCATTATCATCATAATCGGAACGTGATTGTTTTGTTTGATTATTTGTTTGTTCATTAAAATTTTCGTTATTTAAAGAATTTGATGATGTTACTTTACGAATTTGTTTTATATTTCGATTATTATTATTTGTGGGTGATTTTGTATTTTGTTTATCTAATTGTTGATTGATTGTTACTTCAATAAATGTTCGTATACAATGTATACAATATTCGAAATTATCTTGTGTAACATATGCTAAATCACGAATAAGAAATGCTAATATTTCACATGATTTATTTAAAGCACGACGATCATGTTGAAATTGATTTCGATTTATTTCAAAATCATTATGTGATACAACAATATAATCTGATCGACGATAAACTTCTGAATCACTTGTATAACCTTTATCAGTTGCAACACAATCTGAACATTCACTATCCGATTCAACATTAATTGTTGATTGACTATGATAAATAGGTTTATTTGTTTGAAGATTTTGTGTTGTTGTTGATTGAAATATAGGAGATGGATGTGCAGCTGCACCAACAACTTCAATTAAAGAGAATAATATAAACCAATCATCAGATTTATGTATATTTGCTGCATTTGTACGAAGAAGTTCATGTAAACCATACGCTATTTCTGATGATAATGCATGAAGTACATGAGATTTCATTAGAAGAAGTATTCGAAGTGAATTAAGTACCTACAAAAGAAAGAATTATTCTTTTTGTTTTTGGTTTATGAAAATAAAATTACTTCTGAAGCTAATTCTTCTCGTCGTAAAAGTCGAGCTGCAATTCTTAATAAACCAATACAAGTACGTTCAATAAAAAATGATTTATCATTAGCATTAGCAAGTATCGAATAGAATTGATGTCGAATAGTTGACCAAAAAATAGTTACACGATCGCGATTTTGAAGAACAACTTTAACAAGTAATTCAAGACAAAATACAGCTGAATCTTGTTCAATTTTAGATGAATCAGACGATATTTGACTAGCATAAATAAGAGCTTTGATTAATTCATTTAAAGAATCAATTATTAAAAATTTTGTTTCTTGTAATAATTGTTCTAAATGACATTCTTCAATACATGTTGATGCTACTTTTATGGCTTCTTGTTCTTCAGGTGATGCTGGTTTATTCGAAGATAATGTAGAATCATTTGAACTACCACCACCAAGAAAAAAGGCAAGCGAAGAAAATAAACCAATATCAGTTCTAAAACGAAAACAAATTTCTATTTTAAAATGACAAGTAAATAGGTTTTGGATGTTTTTTTGACCCTGTGGACACTCAATCACAGGGCCTTATCGCTCAACTATAGATGTTTCTTGTAAGTGAATTGATTTTATGAATTTACTTTGGTGTTTGTATAATTTGCTCTTTAATAAGTGTTGTTCGTCCTGTTGGATCAAGAAAATCTTCAACTTCAACTAGAGTTGATGGTAATAATTTTGCTTTATATAAATGAATAATACATTCAAGAATATTTTTCCAACCATCTCTTAGTATATCACCATGTAAATGTGCAATATTAAAAACAACGGTTGCAGCAAGACGTGCTTTTTTATTTAATCCAAATTGTATGGGTAAATTTTCAATCCACTAAAACATAATATTTTCTTTATTATATAGTATCGATAATTAAAAACTTCATAATTACCTCTCGATTATTAAGTAAAGTTGTAAATTTACATAATGAAATAACTAAATTATCAAAAACATCCGACATACAATAATATGCAGCAATTCTTGCACATTTACTAAACCCTTGAATAGATTTATCAATAACTAAATTATAATTTGATTTTTCAAAAACAAATGAAAGTGCAGCCATTGTTTGTCCCCATATTAATGTAAATATATCATGATTATATGAACCAGTTGGTACATGAAGAAATTTTTCTCCTGTTGTCACTGTTCGTTTAAGCATTAATTTCCATAAATAAGATTCTCGAACACGACCTGTATGTTCAGCTGGCAATAGAATTTCATCAGATTTAATTGCATTATAAATTTCAGTTAACATTCCATCATCAAAATTTTCATTATTATTCATTTTTGATAAATTTCGTTTAAAATCCTTTGTTTAGAAAAAAAAAAAATTTAATAAACGAAAATAAAAAAACTAAGTTTATACTTCAACAGTCATTGGTGAACTTTGACGACGAACATTTGTATTATGTTGATCAGTCTAAAAATGAAAATAAAATATTCTAAAGATGAATAAATATATGACTTACATTAAGCATAATACAAGCATATGATAAACCAAAAGCAGCATCATTATTAGCAAGTTGAAAATTATTACATTCCTAAATAAATACAATTATTTTTTTCATAAAATTAATAAATTTTTCTTACTCTCCAACGAGCAGCAAAATGTTCAAGTAAAGCACTAATTAAAGGTGCTTCACCTGGTAAACGAAATTCTGATAAATATATTCGAAGTGCTTCATCAACACGCATATTTTCAAAATTAAATGTCCTGTAAGAAAAAATCAAAATTTATAAAATTTTAAAAATAAATCATATTTACTTGACATATTGTTCGAGTATATGAATATTTTTTCTATTTGATAAATATTCTCCAATAATCTTCTTATCTAATAATGGATTGTCTTTAAGAAATTTAACAATTTCATGAACATCTAATGGATCCGATAGAAGATTATTTTCTTGAAGAAATTTTATTCCTGATGATGCACTTTGATTAAATAATTCTGAACCTTGACGTAATAACTATAATCAAAAATAAATTTAATAATTAAATTACAAAAAAACAAAATTACCTTTTTATCTTGTTTCATTTTTTTCAGATCATCTTGTGATGGTAAATGTGAAGAAATTGTCATTCGATTTTGTCGAAGTCGTGATCCATGACGAGATTCCGAAGGTGTAGATGAACGATGTAAATCAAGATTTTGTAATGATAAAGCAAGTGCATAACCACATGGAACAGGACGTGTTAATGATTGATTTGTTGCTGTAAAAATTTATACATATCACATACAAGAATTCTCAAAAGAGAAATAATCATATTTATGATTTAGGCTCCACTGTAGAGAGCTGCGGGTTCACGTTTTTTTGGCCCGGACCCGCATCTCTCTACTCTACTGTCTCTTCGTCAATTGGCGAAATTCGGGAATCCCCTACTATATCCAGAAAAACGAAATTTCGATCTTTATAGTTTTATAAGACAAAATTAATTCATATTTTAACATACAATCATTTTTTTGTCGTTGTACTTGAAATTGACATTCAAGTTCAATATGATCGATAACTGAAAGAAGTGCATCGAGTGAAAGAATATGTGTTGATGTTAAACCAGCGACTGGAAAAGCATTTTTTGATAACATTTTAGTTAATTCTTCAAATAGATTTGTACTATAAAGATCACAATCATAATTTAAATATAATTCAGCTGGTAAACCAGGTATACGAAGAAGTTGAACGATTGTTTCAAGTGCGATTTCTTTTTGTTCATAGGATATTTTTGATTGTTCAGATACAATTAATTCCATTAAACGTGTAATAAAAAACTATGGAAAAACAAAATTAAATAACAAAAAAAAGTTTTTTAGATTTTTTACTTCAAATTGACATTTCAAATGTGTTCGAAGACTTTCGAATATAAGAAATGAAACACGAAATGAAGCTGAATATAATGGAATACGAGTAGAATTTAACAACTAAATATAAATATATATTTTTATTATAAAATAATAATTTCAATTAAACATACGCTTATTAAATTACGACAGAGAGTATCTTTAACTATTGAAAGTAATAGAGGATAATTTGCAAGATAATCTGCACCAACTTCTAATGCAACAATAAGAAGATTTAAACCAACTGTTATCATATATTCAGTATTATTTCTATTGACGAAAAATAAAATTATATTGAAAAGAAAAATATGATATTAAAACTTACTTATCATAAACATCGATAAGTGTCGTAAGAAAACGAAATAGACCACGAACACATGGCCAACCATATGGAGTTAATAAATCTAGGAGGAAAAAACGAGTTATTATTTTCTATGCTTGTTATTTTTTACCATTAACAGATTCATTGATAGGTGATCCTGATGTAAATCTTATTCCTCTTGGATTAATATACTCATTAGGATTTGATGATGTTTGTGTTACTATTGTTTCTTGTGATTGTTGTTCATCTTGAACATTTGTTAAGATCTGATTTGTTGATGATTCATCAAATGATGGAATAGTTTTTTGAGAAGATTTATTTTCATCAATCATTAGAGCTATATTTGTTGCACTATCGATTGCAGTTGGATGAACATTATCCGTACTTTCTAATGGCTAAAAATTATGATAATAAATCATATTACAATAACTACTGGAAAATGTCTTACATATGTTAAAGTTGTTTTTATTGTAGACGAAGTTGAATCTATAGAAAAAAAGCGTTTTGAAAATAAGAAAAAAATAAATTATTTTACCATATTTTTCTTTTTGTGATTCAGGTTGATTTGCTGTTGTTATACCAGTTGTTGAAAGATCTTTAATTAGTTTTGTTGATGCTAATGATGTTGCATCATCTTTAAATTGTGGTAAACGAGCAAATAATAATTGAACCATATCAATTAAAACATGTTCAGATGTTTTACGTAATAATTCTATAATAAATAAATCACATGAATAAAACGAGAAAAGTATAATTTCATTAATCATACCAGATAATCTTGTTTCGAAACATATTCGAAAACAAGATTGAAGTATTTCACATACAGCATCATTGGTCATTTGAGATCCAACTGGACTTAATAATAAAGAACGAAGAACCTATTGAAAAAACAAATTTAGAGATTTTTTTTCGGAGAATAATTTATACTTGTAAAATTCTCATCAAAACAACTTCATCATCATTTGGATTCGTTCCAACAAAACGTGTATGTGTTACAGCATTGGCAACTTTATCAATAGTCGATGCTGATGATTCACTTAGCGTATCTTTTTATACATAAATAAAAATAAAATGAAATAAATTGTTAAATTAAAAATATCTACCGATCAATCCATATGAAAGAAATTTATTCACAGCATTTAATGCTAAACAAGTCATTGGACCGGATATTTCATCAGAACGAATTATATCAAGAAATGGTGTTAAAAATGTTAGTGAATCAATATCTTGAAGATCTAAAAGCACAGATGACTTATGATTTTTTTATTAAATTATTTTACCTGATATTGAATTTAAAGTAGTTTTAAGTTTTTGAAATGAATTAATCTCTGGAGATTCCTTTGAAAGAAAAATATAGAAATAATAAATAGAAATTTTTGTGATTTACTTCATATGAATGTGTCGTTGACCATCGATTATTATTCTTTTTCGATGATGTTAATGCTTGAATTTCTCCGAGAATAATATAGATTGCATTTTTAGGTGGATCAAATGGTGATGACATCGGTGAATAATGATTCAAGGATTGACAAGAATCTTTTTGATGTCGAGAATTATTAGTCTAGGATAAAACAATTCAAATGATTGTTCTTGAAAATCCGAAATTAGAAAAAAAGATCAGCCTTCAAGTTAATCCATATTTTACCAATACAACGTAGTCATATGAAACCAATGAAAATATTTTTTTCTTAAATGTCGCTAGTCACTTACTAATGTCATTTTTGTAAGCATAACGTATTCATTGCATTCACTTTCAATTATTGGATGAAATAATTCGGTATAAAAAATATTGTCATATGACATAATTATGTTACGAATAGAACGCAATTCAACATTATGAAAAAGAAAATTTGAACAACAGAATGATGTCTGTTGGCAAGTATTATAGACATTTGCAAAATTGAGTCACTTTTGTTTTTGCCACGTTGACGTAGACAACACCTGTATGACAGGTAAATGCGAACAATAAGAAAATGAAGGAGACTTGTTTTGTAAAGAAAAAAGGTCATATTTAATGAGAATAACAATTATAACATATCGATATAAAATTGAACTGAAATATTTAAACTATGATTTATGATATTCAACACCTTTTTAATGTACCCAAAAAATGAGTACACACTTCTAGAATCCAATATCTCGATCGAGTTCAAAGATGGGTTATTGCAAAAAGAGAAGCTCTCTATCTTTCGATGACAGATATATCACTTCGAGGTTTTCTAGGCCGAAGAACTCGAAATCTCATTGATTGAGCAGTAACCAATAAAAATCAAGTTATAAGAAAAAGGGTTGTCCTAGGATAAATAAACGCGGAGAGTTGATATATGAGCTGTATTCGATCCCATATCCTTTCGGATGAGTAACAGTCAACAGAAATCGTGCCCATAAAACCACTTAAGAGGGAGCATTCGTAGATATTGGAATGCGTTTCAGTTGGAGGACTGTGTTCATTCGCTACAATCATATAAATGCTCAAATGAAAAGTTATTTTGTTCTTGATGATCTTCTATTAGCTAATTATAAGAACGTTGCAAGATATTTGATAAATAAATCATGTATCTTTAGTGAAAATATATATAAAAGCATATATTCTATGATATTTAGAATATCATGTAAATCAATAGACCTCGTTCTTTCTTTTACATTCAATATTATTTTTTTATATGTCACATAAATATACCACACCTTGATTTATATCCGGTTCAAATAAATAATTGAATTATTGTAGGCACGCACTGATTTTATTATAGAAGTCAGAAAAAAATTGAAGCAGATATTATTATGTAGAATTATTTATGGGAAAAATATGAAATCGTCGACGAATATATAATATTACTTGTTTAAATTCTTCGTTATAAACTGGTGATGGTAGAACAAAAATTAGAAATATTAATGTTGATGGTATGAATGAAAGAAAATAACCAGTCAGATAAAACCAAAATAGATGAGTTGATTTATCACATTTTAAAATAAATGAAACGATTAAATATGGTAATGTCAAAATTACAATAATCACAGGACTAATCAAAAGATGTTTATATTGTCGAATTTTAGCTATAAGATGTTCTTTGAAAGTACGATTTTGTTGGCAAGCTGTTCGTTGACGAGTAGTTATGATAATAATAGTAATAGCTGAAATAAAATTAATTATTAATGGACCTATATAATGAAACATAATTAATGTAAAACTATATATTTGTAGAAATGATGAATAATTGACGACACACCAGTTTCTTTCTTCAGTTTTATCAGTAAAAACATGAAGTTTAAGTGTTTGTGGAATATAAACAGCAAAATTGATCAAAATTACTATTGTAATAACATATTTAGCAATTTTTACGCTTTTCCGTTTATCAAAATTAATTCCATGTCGCACAGAAATTATTCTTTCTATAGCTACGCAAGTCTGAAGCCATTTATCTATATATAATATTATTTTTAGAAGTGGTTCAACGATTCGGCAATTTAAAAAAAGAATAGTTTGTAAACCACGTTGTTCTAAAATCCATTGATAAGAGAGATAAAGTAACCAAAACTTCAATGTAAATAATATCATAATTATTAATGAAGTAATTGATGCAGTAAAAAGATAAATTCCACAACCAACTTGTCGAGATTTTTTTCTTTGAAAAATTATTATTGACAAAATACAGTTAATGAGCCCTACAAGAAATATAATCATTGTAATAATAGCACTCACTTTAACTGTAATAGGTTGTTTAGATAATATAATATTACGTCTAAATTCATAACCTAAAATTTCATCTAATGTCGAACCAAGAGGTTTTGCATAAAATTGACATTCATTCCCGAAAAAACATTCAGGACATATACATATTCTTGTTGATGGACAAGTTGGATGATCTTGTACACATTTTGCTTCATTTGCACAATATTTTTTTAATGTACATTGAAAGTTTCTATCACGTTTAAATTCAATACAATTAGCATGATGTTCATTCGTACATAAACATAAATAAGCTTCATCAATAAAACAAGTTAGATCATGACGTATATGACAAAGTTTATGAAAAAATGCGATTCGTCGATATTGAGTCATTTTTAATATGGTCGAATTTAATAATCGTTCAACAGGAACGCATTCTTGTGACGAACGAATTGATGTTGAAAGATCGATTTGTGGTAATTGTTGAATAACAGCAAGATAAAATTTATTATTAACTTGAACAATAACCATATGATATACCATTGAAATATAAAAAGTAACACTATGTTGAAAGAGTGTTAATTTTTGTAGTTTAATTGTAGTAATTGGATTTGATTGATTTGAAAGTGTGAAGAAATAACCTACGACATAAGCTGGAATATCAATACCAATTAAAGAAACATTAAGTCTTGCTTTTAAATCTTGACAATGAAAACCAAAATATCGATCAGGACAAATACATGTATAATGACTATTAGATACGGTTACATCAGCTGGTACACATTTACCATTATTTTTACAAGCAGCAATTGGACATGTTGATGCAAATAAACATCGTGAACCAAATTTATTTAATGGACATACACATATTGATTGATTATATGTAATTCCCAAATGAAATGAATCAATTGAACATATTTGATGATTGATTGATATATTACAATGAATACCTGCCCATTTCGAATAACATCGACAAAAATATTTATTTTTATTTGAATATTTTATACATCTGCCATTCACGCATGTCATCAAACAATTGGATGAATTATCCACTGTCTGATTTGATAGAATTAATGAAATAGCCATTCGATTGATAGGTAAGAAAAGAAAATGAATAGGAAAATACCAACTTCCAACGTATGTTATTTGAGTTTTTTCAAATGCATCGATACGTAGACTATAACTATGAGAGATATTTTTTGGACGTTCTGGAAATAATAAATATCGATTTAATTTTATACTACAACTTTGCTTTGTTATATAGACAAATTGATCATAAGAATGAATATCTTGTCGTTGATCGATCTCATTAATTAACATAATAACAATAGCATAAGTAGTATGTCTATCGATTGAACTCAATTGTAATGTTAAACTAACTCGTTGATTTTGATATTGGCATAAATGACCATAGTAACTAGGTGGACATATACATGCATCATTAAAACTATCATTTTCACTTCGAAGATAAATAATAAGTCCACGATTACAATACCATGAACTGTTCTTAATTATAAATGAAGGGAAATTTATAAATGATGGTTGATCTAGTGGCCAATAAAAACTTTCATTAATAAAATTTTGTTCTAATGAAGGATAACTAGGTAATGTTTGAACAGAAAAATATTTAATTCGACGATTGTCTTGTTCACTTAGATCGCAAAGAACTTGTTCAACTTCATTTCGATTACGTATTAAATCATTGTTACAGTTAAATTGAAAGATATTACAAAATTTTCCTTCATCTTCACGACTTTTTGGACAATCTAGTTCGCCATCACATAATTGAGATGGTGATAAACATGCGTTATCAATTGAACAGCGAAAGCGTGGTGATACGTCAGTTGGAGGATAAGATCTTCGACATTGCTGTTGTTCGTCTGACGCTCCGAAGCAATCGACATCGCCATTGTTAACACGTTCCGAAGGTAAACAAAATACAGTATAATTAATACGATCTACACATGCTTGAGTTCCTGAATGGCATTTAACGTGACCACAGTTATGCTCATCTCGTCCATCTTTACATGCCCAATAACCATCACAACGTGAATACATATTATTACATAACCATATTTCACATCCTTCTTCATCATCATATTTTATATCATCATGATCACGATAATAGTATTCTAGGACACCATTACAAAAACGATCAAATGAAACGTCTCTATCTTCGCCATGCAATAAACAAACTTCTTCTTTCATAATAGGAGACCAACATGTATTAGTTTCACGACATCTGACGCGATATTTATCTTTAAGTTGACAACTATGTTCATACGTCTCGTCATCGAATTGAAAACAGTCTATTTGTCTATCCCTAATACGACTTGTAGAAATAATTTTCAATGAATTTTGACATTGATATAATGATGAATAAATTGTAGAATTTTTTGTTTTGTTTTCATAAGTAACATGAGGAATTAAACATGGACGAAAATGTTGTTCGATTGTTAATATTATTTCAATCCAAGATCCCATAGTATAGTTTCTTGTTAATTTTAATTCAGATACATTTAAACAAGTCAAATTTTCATGAATTAAGTTTGGTTTCATATAATGACATAGTTGTTGATCATAGCAAATATAATCAGGAAAAAAGAATTCATTTATACTTCTATTCAAATGAAATTTTTCATAGAATAAACGAACATGAGGAGAATAAATTGGTACGGTTGGAAATTGAAAAAATGAATTGCATTCTTCATGAATTGCATCAATTGAATTATTCATTAACCATATTTCGCATGACTTCCCATTAACGTCTGTGACTAGTTTAGTAAGACAGATCATAGTAATCCAACATTCATCTTTTAGATCACCTTTGCTTGTCATGGATTCTATCAATAATAAATGGCGGCCGTTCTCACATGCATAAAATGTTTCGACGCATTGACCATCACCGCAAGCAAATGTACCTCCATCTGGTCTACACGAATGTTCTTCGCAATGAAACGTCGGATCTTGAAAACAAAAGTCTTTATACATGAGATCTAATACTTCATCTGATCGATCAAGACAATCGGCATCACCGGCACCATCTTCCCAAAGTGCGCCTGATATGCACAATCCATTATGACATCGGTATTCATTTGCTTCGCATTTATTAATTTCCATATCAAAGCAGTTTTCTTCGTCAGAGCCTTCATCGAAACAATCGATAATTCCATTGCATACTTCACGCCAATCAAGACACCAAGGTTGTCCATTACGATGACATTCTAAAAGTATATAACAGGGTACTTTGATTATCGTATCGGATGATTCGAAATATGATAATCTTCCACGAAACGTTGCTTCAACAATCTGATTGAAAGATATCTGTTCATTAAATCCAAATGAATATTGACATTGGGAACCAAACCACGGTTCGGTACAATTATAGAATTCCTCATTTAGCGACGCATTTGACATACTTAAATAGAATTCATAACGTTCAGCGATATCAATCGAAACGGACCACGATAGAAGTTGTAATGAAGTGATATTGTTTAAACGTAATTGTTCGAAACTTAATTTTTGAGAAGACAGATCAATAGAATTTTCAAACAATCGTTCATGATAGTTCTTTGGACGAAAACAATATGGAATGACTTCATCAACTACATCTAATAATTCTTGATAAGCTGGTTTTTCATAATAAATATGATAATTTAAACAATCATATTGTAAAGAATCAATTTTTATTGTTTCTTTACTAGCATACATATTCAGTTGACAGTTGATAGTTGTCCATTGATATAAAAATATTAACAAAACTTGAAAAACAATTGTACCTTTTTCAATTGAATATACGTTCATTCTTAAATGTTTCTATGTTAACGTGTGTCAATTGTCACAGTAAACGCGAGTAAAATGATATTTATTAAATCGTTAACAAGAAAAAAAAATCTTTTTTTTTCCCATAAAAGAAACTGTAAATGGCTAAATACTATGATTGTTATACGTGAGCGATGGATTTTAGAGATAGCAAATAATTAACAAGAATGAACACACGTTCAAATAATTAATATGCGTGTGAAATGAGAAGGTGATAATTTCAAGGTAATCTCTATCTATCTATATATATATATAAAGAAGAATGTTTGTCTATCTGTTCTTTATCCATTCTGTCCTTGTAATAGATAGCGTCATCAAACTTTCTATGGGAAGGCCATGGCGGGGCTGGGTGAATTTTCACCCAGGTGGTTTTGTGATAGCTAACGTCCCCGAATTTTCCATGATAATTCTCCAGGTTCAATAGAAGGCGGAAAGGGTGTGGGTGTGGGCGTCGATGTGCATCTTCATTCATGGTACCGACGCTCACCCAACACGCCCTCACGCATGTTGTTCTATTTCACATATGTATGGCAGGATATGTTGTAGTAATAGATGAAAGATTTGAAGCACAATCCTCCTTGTATTTTCTGTCGTTTTCTAGCATATGCAGTTTTTGGTCTATAATGTTCGGAACCAACATCGGGTACTTTCGCTATTGAGTTAATAAATTCACAGAAAAGGTTTCTAGTTATATACTTTCTATAAATGGCTAAACATTTATCCCGAAGGTAAAATTATAGGTGCAGATCTATGTCTAATCTCTACTTATATCCAAATACACGCTAAGACATTCTTTCATTGAAAAAAATATCACAATACCTCTTTGGATTTTTGTTTGCAATTAAAATGAAATTAATTTGTAATTATAGTCCAACTACCTCAGATAGTGTACCAGTCTTATCAATGAGATTTTATAATAAAATAAATTCTTTTTCTATTTCTTCTACTACCAAGCAATTATTTTATTATTGTTGAGTCATTTAGTTTATATTTATAAAAGTAAGCAAGAAGACATTCATTTCTTCTACCAACTTCTATTCGAAAGCATGGCAATGGCAAATAATAAAACACAATGTTTCACATGCAACAAAGAAAAAATAACTTATCCTTGTGAAGGATGTTCACAACGATTTTGTTTAGTTCATTTAAACGAACATAAACAATTATTAAGTGATGAACTAAATCATATTATTAATAATTATGATCAATTCAAACAAACAATTAATGAACAAAAACAAAATCCACAAAATCATTCTTTAATAGAACAAATTAATCAATGGGAAAAGCATTCAATTGAAATAATTCAACAAAAAGCAAAAGAATGTAGAGAAACTGCCATTAAATATTCACAAAAATTTATTAGCAATATTGAAATGAAATTTCATGATTTAAGTGAAGAAATAAAACAACTTCATAAAGAAAATGACTTTAATGAAATTAATTTAAATTACTTAACAAATCAACTAAGAAATATTACAGAAGAACTAAATAATCCATTAAAGATTTCGATTCAACAATACTCACAAACATTTATTAATGATATTTCGATTATTTCATCAAAAAGTATGTTGTTTAGAAATAGTTTCTGAAAGAATAATTCTCATTTTTTATGAAATTGTGTTGAAAAACTATAAAAACAAAGAAAAGTGATGATGAAGATAAAAGAATGATAAGATATGAAAAAATATTACATGAAAAAAAACCTTCTTCAAAGATTCAAAAGATATGTTTGATTGATAAAAACAAAATTGAATTATTTTGAAATTTTTATTTAACAAAAAATAAGTTAACAAAATCTTTTCTCTTTTTTTCAATTTTTCTTTTCTTTTCCAAAAAATTTATTTGTACTTTCCAAAGAAAAAAATTCAAATAATTTATATTTTTTTCGATAAAATTCTTTACAAATTTAACAAAAACAATGAAATAAAATTTGTCTTTTCATTGAATATTTTTTCTGAATATCTCATTGGAAATTCACCTTTGATAATAACACAATATTTTCTTTTTTCTTCGATGAAGAACAACTTTTCTTCTTCTTCTTCTTCGCCTTTTTTTTCATCAAGATGTCATTTTGTTTTCATCCTTTTCTAGAACCAATAATCAACAAATGGAAACAAAATGCCATCACTGTAGCTGGTGGAAATGGAAAAGGACAACAATTAGATCAACTCAATCGGCCTGTTAGAATTTTTATTGATCAAAAGAAAAATATTTTTATTGCGGAGTATTCCAATCATCGTATTGTTGAATGGAAACGTAATGCAAAAGAAGGACAAGTCGTTGCAGGTGAAAATGGGCAAGGAAACCGAATGGATCAATTGAATCATCCAACAGATATGATTATTGATCAACAAAATCATTCGATCATCATTGCTGATTTTGAGAACAGACGAGTGATTCAATGGTTGAATCAAAACCAACAAATTCTCATTCACAACATTGACTGTCATGGTTTGGCAATGGATAAATATGGATTTCTTTATGTTTCTGATTATGTGAAGAATGAAGTGAGACGATGGAAAATGGGAGAATATGACAACGAAGGAATCGTAGTAGCAGATGGAAATGGCAATGGAAATCAACTTAATTGTTATACTTTTCTTTTTGTTGATGAAGAACAATCCGTTTATGTATCAGATAGAGACAATCATCGTGTGATGAAATGGAGAAAAGATGCAAAAGAAGGAAGAATTGTGGCTGGAGGAAATGAAAGAGGAGGAAATCTCAAGCAATTATCGTCATCTGCAGGAGTGATTGTTGATAATTTGGGTCAAGTCTATGTGGCAGATTTTGATAATCATCGAATAATGCGTTGGTGTGAAGGAAAAGAAGAAGGTGAAATTATTGTTGGTGGAAATGGTGAAGGAGATCAGTCAAATCAATTGAATGGTCCCACAGGTTTATGTTTTGATGATGAAGGAAATCTTTATGTTGCTGATTATTTGAATCACCGAATTGAAAAATTTGAAGTGGTCTTGTGAATGAGACTTTTGACTTTGAAAAAAAAAAAGAATTGTTTTTATAAGAAAAAATGAAAACAAATCTTTTTGATTTTTTCTTCAAAATTGAATTTAATTCCAGGATTTTTATTATAAAATTGAAAAAATAAATGTTAAATTCTTCATCTTTTGTTGATTTTTGCCGAATTTTATACAAGAAAAGAAACACATTTTATGAAAATTTTGATAATAAAAGCTGAACTGAAAAATGATTTATCAAAATGAAATCAATGAAAAGAAATTTTATTTGAAATTTCAAAAATAAACCAATGAACGTTTTCTTTTAAACGAAAATAAAAAAAAGAATGATAGAAGAAAAATGAACAAGAGACTGGAATAAAATCAAAAAATAATAAAAGTTTTATAAATCATATAAAATTCAAATTTGATATTTAATTTCAAAGATTTTTGACCAGATAAAATTGTTTTTATCTGAGTTTTTAAATAAAACTTCCAAAAATGTTTGTTTTATTTTTTTATTTGAAAATACTAAAATATTTTTTAGACAAATTATTGTAGAGATAACTATTTTATATGAATATATTGAATTATTGCTAAACTGAATTATTTTTATGAGGAAATTCAAATTTTAATGTTTTCAATGATTATTTATTAATATATGCCCTATTATTAATTACTATTTTAATTCAATAAATGTTTTTTTTAATGAGTAATGAAAAAATTATGTTATGCCAAGCTTTATCGAAATTTTGGCTATTTCTGCTGCGAAATACATGAAATTACTAGCAGAAGCTTCTTCGGAGAGGAAGGGGATTATTCAATATAAATGTATAAAAAGATTTAAATAAATCAAGATGAGTTTTTTTATTCAAGTGAAGAATAATACAATATGCAGATATTTAAATACTCAAGATCAGTTTTTAGGAATTTGATTATTTATTTTATTATTTATAGTTTTCTGTATTGAAAATTTCGTGCAAATAAAATAGTTTCTCATATCAGATATTGAAAAACTTATAGAATATATACACGAATGCATTGGCTAACCTATCTATAATGAAAATACTGACTTATATCTAAATGTGTGAGTAGAAATATACATTTCTTTTCTATAGAATGAGTTTCCAATAAAAATAATCATGAACGCGTGTTTTATTTTTTGTTATCTGTGAATATGACGTAGTTATTATGATGCTTCGAATGGCTGGATTTACTAATATTATAGATGAGTTTTTAGATTCACTAATCAGACTGTTAACTAGCTGACTGCTGATAGAAGGATCAAATCATTATCTTAATAAAAAAACAAAAATGACTCTCAATTTAACTCAATTCATTGCTCTTTGATTTTATGTTTGAGTTATTTCGGACATATTTTATCGTATATTTTAATTTATAATAGAAACTTCCAACAATGCCTTCTACTCGTTTCATATCATATCAACATCAAAGAACAAAAGAACATGAATTATATTGTTATCAGTCTATTCGATACTATCCACGTGAAGATTAAGATTTATATAGTAGTATTTTATTCTAGTAGATATATATTTGTTTATCGATCATACAAGTTACTAACTAGCACATATTCAACAATTTTTTTCATTGATTAAACTAAGCAAATATGATAAGTATATCTGTCATTAACTACTAAATTATTTTCTTTCATTTCAATACGTTATTCGTTGTTTTTATTAATCATCAAATAAAACATTATGCAAGTATGTTTTTTAAAAATTGAGTAAAATATTTATATTAATAATATTGGATAGATCAATTTTGTTGATTGAAACATTTACACCTCCATTCACCTGCAAGTTTACGGCAGTAGTCAGTATGATAGTCTAAGCGTCTGCAGTGTTGTCTGCAATCTGTTTTGAAAAAAATAATACCTACGCAAAGAAAAAATCAACTTGCATTTTTAATTTTGTCGAAAAATGCTTTGTCTTGATTCTCAATAGATGATAAGACATATAACAAGTTAAAATGATCTGATTATATATGATCTATTTATTAAATTTAATTTCAGTACAAAAACCTAGTGAACAAATTAATTAAATGAACTAGATCGTATGATATCTTGATCAATGAATTTCAAACAAAATACTATTTTCAAGCTTATATTTATTAAGATTATGAATTTTTTTTTTATACACAATCAAAACAATGCCATTCAGCTGAAACATATATTTTATTTCCGATAAAACACATCGTATAGCATATGATTTAGTAAACAGAGTTTGAATTCTATTGTACATGATTATATATAAATAAAGACGAATACGATGTTTTAATCATAACAGTGATATGATAAAGACACATATCAAGAAAGTCGAAAAATTCAAGTCTATCATCAATCATGTATATTTACAAAATGATCTATTAATTATCAAGGCTAAATTTCATATTTTATACCTTTTTAATAATTCTTTGTTCAAAGTGAATTGCAATAAAAATATTCAATTTATTGTTCTATCATATAGCTATGAAATGATATTGAATCTGTTTTAGAGAGACAACGTTGTACACTAGTACTATAAACTAATTTTGCACTGCTGTAATATTAAAAATATTATCATATTACCAACAAAAGCACACGATAGTTTTACACTTAGTTTTACAATGTTCTTCCTACTTGAAAATAAGTAATCGGCCATTCCATGTGTGACGGAATCACGCTTTTTCACTTTGTGTTTTCAATATCTCAACAAAACGAAATGGAATGAGGCTAATATTTTCAGAATATATGGGCCCCTAGTGGCTCTACATACTTTGAAAGTTTCATCAGATTCGAAGGTTCCGTTCATAGTTTTATGATTAAAATACAGCCCGTGA